GAGGAGGACATACTGCAGTGCCTTTCCGCTGGATACACTCTGAAACAGCACACACTGTAGATTTTTAATCATACTTTATAAAAACACTCACAAAAAAAGGACTTCAAGAACTGGTGTAGAAAATAGTCCAAATGATGGGATAAGCATGTTCAAACCATGGGAGAGTATTCTGAAGGGGATTAATGGCAATGTTTTTGCTACAATAAGTATTTCTAACTTAAACTGTATTTTTTTTTTGCTACTTCAGGCTGTGCATTGCCTATTTTGATCACACTTCATATTCTATTTGACACTTAATAAGCAAATCTAAGATTCCAAATACACTATAAATTTAGAGGGGCATGATTTTTATTAATTATCCAAGTCACTAGAAATTTCTATCAAAGACAAATAAATCCATAATAAACTAAGTGGGAAGACCATGTGTAGATGTTATTTTTTAAATGAGAACACAGCATATTTACACATAATGCTTATAATCAGCTCTGTTGTCACTGTGGTCCTAGTAACAAACCTTTTCAGGATGCTGTGTGCATGCCACATTGCATTAGACTTTAAAAGGAGTTAGGGTAAATTTTAAATGGCCTAATAAAATATCTTCCGTCTAAGTAATTCACAAAGGGGCTCTAATATGTGGTGCTTCCAGTCAGATGCTGAAAAGGAGCTTCTGTCCTAGGTGGAAGGACACTCAGAAGTCACTCCAATCTGATAGATTTCATGGTCGTAAGTACGCATAGATCGCATTTCACCATTGCAGGACACATATTCTGACACATTCTCACATGCCTAAAAGCAACTTACAGACCTGTGCAGCGGTCACAGCTTGCATGTTGCCAAGCATTAAAATCTGCAGAATGGGTATCAACACCTTGAAAAACTCCTAAAAACAACCATGAAGGAATAGAAGTACCGAACACTAGAAGTAGAAGTATCGAACACTACGTCACCAAGATACTGATGGCACAGAATCTTATACTGTATGGAAAAAAAAGACATCAAAACACTGAATCCAAAAGTGACCTCAAACAATGAAACCCAATGTGACCAGGTCTGAAGAATATTTTAAATTTAGGTTTGCTACTATGGGCACAACTGACATTTTAGGGCCGGTAATGTTTTGTTGCTCCTGGGTAGAAAGGGGGGCAGAAAGACTCCCCTATGGATTATAGGATGTTTATTAGCTTCCTTGGACTCTGGTGGCTACATGCCAATAACACCTAACAAGTACAACAACCAAAAATGTCTCCAAATATTGCCAAATGTGCTCTGGAAATTAAAAATCTCTGGGCCGGTAAGATAGCTCAGCTGTCCAAAGCGCTGCTGAGACAAGCTCAGGCAAGCACGCAGGGACTCCAGTTTGATCCCTGGCACCACATGGCACACCAGCCCCACCCCCAGGGTAGGCTGAGCCAAACACACACACACAAAATATCTCCCCCAGTAGAGAACCACTGCCTTAACTAATTTATTTTGCTTACTCTTTTCTTTTTATGCATACATAAGTGACATGTTTTTAAAAATCTAAAATTAGTCTTGAGGCACTATTTCAGCAAGAAAATCCTAATAGATACAGTACTGTAATTTGCAGCAAATTTTTGGGGGGTACCTCTTAAAATCCATACCATCTTCAATTCAATGGAATTGAGCCACCCACTATCCATTTCATTTTTTTTTTGAGCCTTCATTCTGATCTCCTGAGCAAATACTTTCCACTGTGTACAGCAGTAGTAGTACCCAGTTCTTTGCTAATAATGTTCTACTCTTCCTTCTGCCTCCTACCTGACATGATTGTAAAACTTTCCGTTTCCTAAGGTAAGCAGAGTTAAGCTTCAACTGTCAACCAAAGAAATCTAAGAGATACAAGATGCTTATCTGAGATAGATAGATAGTAGGCATTTCAGGATCTCTCCCTCCCACAAAGTTCACCTACCTATTAAAAATTTTATGGTTTTTCCTGGTAAATAGGGGAGTAGGTGAGACAAGAGCTGCTAAAACTATGGGATGGGTTATAGGGATTCGTTTTACTTTTCTCTGGTTTTGAGTAAACTTAAAATGTACCATGATTTTTTTTTAAAGGGAGGATTACAGGAGTTGGAAAAAATAATTTCAAATATTTTCAAAACAAAGAAATGATATTTGAGGAGCCAGATATGCTTATCCTGATTTGAACATTACACAATGTATACATCTACTGAAGTATCATATGCTACCCCATAAATACATACAATTAGTATTTTTATGTATCAATTTTAAAAATGATGAAAAGGGCTTTTTTAAAAAATGCTGGTAATAATTGTCCTATAAAGAAAAATATCGCAAGCAAAATGAACTCTGAAGCCTTTTTGTGCAAGTTTATTCAGAGCTTCAATTTATGCATGCCCATGTTCAGATCTGATGTGCCAGGAAACTGGTCTACAGTTCTGTGTGCATTGGAGGTGAGAAGAGGAAAGCGTGGTAAGCAGGGCGTGTGCAAGTGACAGTACAATGGCACAAGAAGCCATTTTCTAAAGCTGCTTACAAGTCTTTATTCAAATATACGCAACAGACAAAATAATGTACAAATGCTCTGTCACTCCAAAAAGTTGCTTTAAAAAGACTGAACATAAAACCGCCTTAGTGCTTTTTTCTAAGGCTTCTTCTCTGGTGGAAAAAAAGAAAAAAAAAAAAAAGTTATTGATTCCTTTACGAACCATCACATAGATGAACACAGACTTTTTTGCCAAGATTTGACAGCTGGAAGTTTTCATGAAGGAGGCTTCAAACAAAACACTTCTTTAAAAAAAAAAAAAAAAAAAAGAATCACATATATAAAAGATATAAAAGCAGTACCACCTTCTACTCTCCTTAAGGGTGACAGAAAAGAAATCCTTTATCAACAGTCATTTGTCCAGGTTAGAGCAAGGCTGCCAAGCCCATTCCACATGAGATATGAAATCGGTTCTCACTGGCACCTTTTATTCATCTCATCCACTCTCTCTTTCATAGACCAAGGCAGAGCAAACAGGAGTTGAATAATGAAGAAACACACACACACACACACACACACACACACACACCCCAAAGACAGTTATTTTAACAAAAACCCTACACTACATGAAACAGAAACAAAACAAAGCAAAACCTATATGAAATATAACAACCAAAGTAAATTGGAATATAGCCAAAAAAACTTCTTAAAATAAAATTGAATTAAAAAATAATAAAATTTCAAAGACAAAAAGTTCTACCATAACATGCTGATCTTCTGTTTCTTAAAGAAAGTGATTTGAATTTTTTTAATATTTAAACTTCACTAATTATGTACTCAAATCTACTTAACCCAATAAAAATAATAAAATGCTACATGGGAAACAACTGAAACACACAGACCCTTTGGTAATACTTATTATATCTAGATTTTTTTAAAACCTAACCCCTAAGCTTTCTCTACTTTCTGAGAAATGGAAGTCCTAATCTATAACTTATATTCTGATCCATATGTTTTGTGCAAATTGTGAGTTAGCTTAGCAATTTGTCAAAAGAAAAACATATATGAGAACATTTTTCAAACCTATCATTTTGGGGATGAAACACTTCAGGCTCAGAGGATAAATTACATGTTGAAAATCCTACGGCCAGTGAAGACTAAAATCCAATTCAAAGATTCTCTATATTAGCTCTCTCACACAAAATAGGCAGTACAAAGCAAAACAAAGCAAAAAATACACACTCGGAATCTATTCAGAGGTAGGCATGTGTCTACTGCTCACTGTAGAAAGACATTCCACATGACCATACAATGTGCTCTATGCTGTATGCAAATGTCAGAAATAGCACAGATGGGAAGCACTTGACTATCTTGGATTAAAATGTATTCACACATTTTTATGCATAAGTATATACTTCAATGTCTTTAAAAAGTAGTGTTTTTTACCCTCCAAAAAAAATTATCTCTGCCACTCTGTACACTGTTTTTTGGTTTTGGGGTTTTTTCTTCAGCTCATAGCTCTTCAATATCTTTTTGGGTCAGGCATAGGACTTACTTGACTATCTAGTATTCCCATGTAGGCACATACTGTGGTTCAAATATCCAGTGCTCTGGTATGGTCATTTGGATTGCTTCCAGTATTCTACCATTAAAAAACACTTCAGTGACCACTCTTCACTACTATTCATAATAAAAACAATAATAAGATGGAAGCACATACATAGAAAAAGATCTAGAGTAATAAATGCTAAGATTAGTGATTACAACATGGAATTATATAGTATTTTAATTTTCAACTTTACAAATTTTTACGAACATCCTAATTTTTAAGTGAGTATGATACTAATTAGTGCTTTCATTCAGGTACTATGTATGATATATGATGTTCATTATTAGCTACAAAATTATATAAAGGCAGACAATTTAATTTTTAATCTTAAAATATTCTTGTAGACTTAGGAACTACACAGAAATCCTCAATATAGTCCTTCAATATTGAGAAAGGAAAGCTTAATATCCATTTACTTATTAAAGGGTAATGATAGTTTAGTCAAGTTTGCAAAGAGGATAACATAGGACTCTAATAACCAGAATCCAAAACCAAAACTGGTCAAGTTTGTATGCTTAGCACATGAGAAGTTCAATCGTACACAAATATGTCTTACAACAATCATTCTTCTCTAAAAATATGTGATGCATATAATAACTGCACCAAAATCTCAAGATACTATGAAACTCACCGTTTCTGATTCTCAGATTCTTTCTTGGCTTGCTCCAATGCCAGTTCTTCAGCCACTCTTCTTTTCAATTCTTCATCAGAAACTAGAATTCAGCCAAGAGCAAAAGGAGATAAAATAAGTGCCTTCCTATAAACAAAAGCAGGAAAATGCTCAAGAAAACAAAGCTAGGATGGAAATGAATGGGGAAAGTTTTGGCAGGTGGTCAGTGTCTCCTCGGAAATTCCTAGGCTTTATGGAAAAGACCAGTGCACTTGAGCACTAATTTAATCAACAGTTCCCTCCCTGATGACCAAGATATTTCCGAAACAGCGTTTAGAATAATTCAAGGAGCTGCTTACTGCCCAGTGAAGACTAAGGCATCACAACACAAATTCTTTAAAATGATGCCCTTCCATTACAGTCTGACAATTACATGTAAGGATAAGGTAGCCTGCAAGGGAATTTAGAGAAGAAAAAAGCAACAAAATCTTCTCACTTCAGTATTTAACAAAAAATAATGTGTTGCAGACAAAACTTGTATTTGCATTAATTTTTCCATAATTTATGAAAAAGGCACTTATGATTTATGAAATTTGAAAACTATATTTTCTAAAACACATGCCACGCAAATTGAAGTGCAAATAACTCGTGAGAGACAGAGTAGTCCTGAGAACACAGCTGGAGCTTCCTAAATACCTGGTGACTTAATTTGAAACATCTGGTCTTCCCAATTAGAAGACTGTGTATGGCATGTTTTGTAAAGCCTCTTTCAATTATGATGGTAAATAAAATGGACAAGTTTTACATACTTCCTTAAGCACTTTCCATCAGACATAAGCAAACAAGTACCCCCTCTTTGTTATGAACTTACTACCTAAAATTATGACCAAGAAAGCACCAGAACTTCAGCATTATTGCAAAACATTAAGCCTATTAGATATAAAACTAGACAGTACTCTATATACTTTAGACACATTAGTGATAATTCAGAGATTATATTTACCTTGCCTCTGGCATATGAGAAGAAATTAATATATAAGGCACACACAACACTTTCAAATTCTTAGCTCACACTAAATAATAAAGAATGCAGTTGAGAAGTTGAAAGGATATTTTCTCACTGAAGTGTATTGTCAGACAGCAACAACAGCATAATATTGGAATACCATGAAGAAAGTGAAACCATAACCCATAAAATCGGAAGAAAATACTTGCCAATCATATAGTTTCTGTATATAAATGTATAAAAACACAATATGCATAAAGAAAACACCTCATAGTTATATAAGAAAAAAGACAAACCAATTAAAACTGAGATAAGGACAATTAAGGCATTTCTGAAAAGCATGTATATACAAATGACCAAAAAGCACATGAAAAAGTTGCTTAACCTCCTTAGTCATTAGTAAAACCACAATGACATGCCACTTGAATTCACATGATGGACAGTAAGTGTTGGTGAAGATATGGAGAAACTAGAACCCACATATGCTGTTGATGAGAACATAAAACCACATAGCCACTGGCAGGTCCTCAAAACACTACACAAGGTTACAACGTCCCAGAAATTCCACTCTCAAATACTAGATATACTAAACCAAAAACATGTCTACACATCCCTTCAAAAAATGCTCATGAATATTTATAATAGAATTCTTCACAATATCCCAAAAAGACACAATCTAAATGCTCATCAGCAGGTGAACAGAAAAAAAAAAAAAAAAAAAAAAAATGTGCTGTCACAGTTTAACAGTACTTCATAAAAAAGAATGAAGCATGATACATACTCCAACACAGATGCGTTTCTATTATGCCAAGTGAAAGAAAGCAGACACAAAAAGCTATATATTATATGTATCCATTTATATGAAATACCTAAAATAGCAAATGTAAAAATCACAAAAAATAAAATAGCCAACTAGCAAATCTATACAAAAATCACTGAAGTGTCTACCTGGGACAGGACAAAGTAAAGTTAGGGAATGATAATGAAGAAGATGATGATGACGACTATAAGTTCATGAGTATACAATTTCCTTTCACAGTAGAGAAAATGTTCTAAAACTAGATTGTGTGATGGTTTATTGTATAAATATGCTAAAAATCACTGAACTACATGTTTTTAATGGATTAATTTTATAGCATCTTAAGTATATTTCCAGGGGGGAGGGGCAGTCAACAAGGCCAAAAAAGCAAAGGAAAAAAGAAAGAAAGAAAGAAAGAAAGAAAGAAAGAAAGAAAGAAAGAAAGAAAGAAAGAAAGAGGAGTAAGAAAGTAAAAAGAAAACTAGGAAATCAAGAAATAGAGGAAACTAGCTGGTCAAGTCCTCAAAGAGCCATCTGGGGACTTTGGGAACATTACTGACCTCTCTCAGCAGCAAATTTCTCAAAAGGCTCTTCCTTCCAACACTATTCTATGCTTCTATTTTGCTTCTCTCTCACTTCATGGTCTGTAACATGAGAGAGATACAAGTCTCTGCTTTGAAAAGGTCACATTAAAATCTAGAAAAACAGTGCAGCAGAGTAGTCTATCTGCATTCAAGCAAATCTTAAGAGTTTATTACAAATAAGAATGCAAGTGACAACAGAAAGTTCATTTAAAACAATGCAAATAACAGCAGAGAATTTGCAGGGGGTAAGTAATACCTCAAAAAAAAAAAATGTCTTCATAGTTTGTTTTTCTACTAGACAGGGCTTGGGTAAAAAGTTATCTCCCTGAATTTTGGTTTCATCATCCAAAGATAGGACACAAATGTGGGCTTACTAGCTATGAAATACTAGAGTACGCACTCTACAAGGTAATGACTTTCACAATTTAATCTATTCAAGAGAAGTAAAATTGTGACAAGCACTTTGTTCATGTTTTACACATACAGCAGCTCTATTAAAAGCAAAATTTAAAACAAATATTTAACCTAATTAGTATTACCTAATCAAACAACACTCTGAAATTTAACATGCCGGTTAGGATCAACACACTATCCATCTATATAAGCAAAGTCATGCTACTTCTCAATCAGTTCAAATTACAACAGCAAAATTTTTCTTGGACAAAATTCAACATTTTTGTTCAAAACTCATTTAATACAATCATTTAAAACTCGGATTCTGTAAGTCTTCAGTATACCATGTCTAAGTACGAAGCAATACAATCAATTTTCTAAGTTAGCTGATAAAACAGATTCAGTTCTTTTTGTGGTTTTTGGCATTTTCCCCCCAACTTTATCAAAATGTAACTGATAGAAAAATCATTTATATTTAAGATATGCAACCTATATAATGATCACCAATTAAATTCACAGATCACATTTATTATTTGCATGTGTGAAGTAGAAACACCTAAAATCTCCTTTTTTGTCATATGTCAACCATAAAATAAAGTCTAATGTAAGTTGTGCCCCCCACACCTTCCTCATCTTATACCTGAAGGTCCGTATCCTTCAACCAACATACGTCCATCTCTCACCCCATCCAAAACCTCTGGCAGCCACTGTTCTACTCTGTTTCTAGGAGTTCAACTTTTTTAGATATCATGCTTAAGAAAAATCATGCAGCATTTGTGTTTTGGCATCTGATACAACTCATTTGCCATAATGCTGTAGTTTCAAACTGTGTTTTAAGCCTGTTATACAGAGAAAAACTCAAAGGAACAAAGAGTTTATCACTGAGATATGATCAACCAGAAACACAAATGATAGGGTCACAATTACCAAACAATGAACAGCTTAGTGGATGAAAAGAAAACCTTGAAGGTGAGACAGTGCAGAAGCAGTGGTATGGGAGAAAAGAATCCAACTCAGTAGTCTGCTCCTCCTTCCCCATACCATTCTGCCTACCTTTGTCAGCCCTGCCACTTCCAGTAGTGGAAGAAGAGATCCAGAAGAGACAAGGCAGCATCATCCAAGTAGACCACAAGGGAAGAAAGAAAAATGGGAACAGGAAAGCACTGTAACAAAAAGGGCAAGAAAGCTCCAGAAAGAAGGTTCAAGTGGATAAATAAATTGGGTGTTACCACTTCTGGTCAGTGAAAGGGCTAACACATAGCTGTCTTTCTAATGCCCTATTTCCAGAAATGGAAAGAGGGGGAAAAATCACAACTTTTGGTTTCAAGCCCAAGGTCACACCTGAAAAGTAAACACCTTAGATACAATCAAGATTTTAAAATAACAAAAGATAAAACATGACCTAGCATAAAGAGTCAAAGCACAGGCAGGAAAATAAACTACGTAGTAATAATAGGCTTTGAGCAGATCTGAGCTTCATGTTATTTGTTTTTAAATCAATAAAATACAGACAACGACAATATATTTCTTCTGATAAATCTGATCCAAAGTGCAGAAGGAAAACAGATACGCTATTTGGACACCACTATTTCAAAATGGCCTTTTGAAAACACTTTCCATCTCTTAGGATATGAACATTTTCTCAAATAAAACTGTTATTAAACTAAAAGGTCACTGTTTCGGGATGGGCTACTTGAAGGGAAGCACAAGAAAGGCCAACTTTGCCTATTAGCGCAGTGAGTCTCGAAGCACATCTTTAGTTAGGAACTGACAAAGTTTGTGAAATGAGAAAGTAAAAATGAGAAATGTTCAAGCCACATATATCAGTTTTGCCATGGAAATTTGCAAAACTATTTCAAGTTCAGTAAATATGGTTCTGTGACTTTTACATGTACACACATTTTCCTTTTAGAATATGTTAAGGCAAAAGAATGTTTTCTTCATATACTTGTACCCTGTACTTTTTAAAATCTCAAAATGGACTTTAATTTCTTTCTCAATAGCAAATGAATCTTAATGAACACAAACATTGCCATTTTGCCATTTTGACCTGAGACTGACCATAAAACATACAAGGGAAAGTTAAACACTGCAATTGCTTGGTTACAGCAAATTGGCCTTAAACTCTATTTGAAACCATTATTGAAAGTAATAAATATTTGAATTATTAAATACAAGTCATGAGTCCTAATAAATTTATTTTTGTTTGCTTGTTTTTACTGAACAAATAGGTTAGCCAGTCCAAAGAATCTTCTTTCCTAATCTCCAGGAATCTCTTAATTCTCTTAGATATCTATATTTCTAAATTTGGTATTAAGATC